GGTTCGAACTCACACCGGATTGGGTAAGGTTTTAGCACAATTCGGTCATAGGAATTACTTCGAATCTACCCTAACACCAATGTGTCCACAGCCGTCAGTAATGCAGCGCCCCCATTGTCAGTTGCCCGGGCTTCCGATGTCAGTATCGAATCATTTCTGCTACTGTCACTAAAGTCTACAGATGAATTGCTTGAGCAAGGAAATTAATGCGTGAACTTAGAGTAAAACCTTCGAAACAAACCCTTTCCGGACTTACTCCGAAAGTTAGGATACTTGAGCTGCAATCTATCAGCTACTGCAGCATAACCGCTTGATATTCAAAAGCTGCCAGCAACCAGTGAATATTATACAAATGCCTACTGACATAGAGGTACATACCGGTCAGAGGGCCTGTATGAATATTTGAGCCGTACTTTATCAGCTACTGAAGAGTAGCCACCGCGTAATATTCTCAAACTTCTGACAGGCAGTTAGCCCTGCTACATAGGACCGTCCCTTTGGAGTTTGGACTAAAGCACCTGTAGCCAATAGTGTAGCGATGAAAAATCCAGCACCGAAAGATGTTTGCAGGCAGAGGTGACGAATCTGCTGTAAAAATGTCTCGAGTGAATGATAAATTTAGCGTTTCAGGTGCTTGTGTGGGTAAAGAAGAAGGCTTGTCGAGCACCGGAACAGTCGGTTTATTGTCCTGAGCTTTCGAATTCTCATAGGAGTTCATCGTCAGAGGTAGCAAATAGCAACAAAAAGGGGGCAATTATAGGGGTGCACACCAATCAATAGTAAGTGACGTAGATGTGGATATGACTGCGCAGAGCTCTTTACGCCGACTCCCAATCGATACGTCGATTGATTGAGTTGCAATCCAGGGCCAGACTTTAAAAAATCTTCGGTTTGTCTTCTTACCGGAGTGGGCAAGTATCTTAACGGCTACGAAGTTGAATTCATGTCTTGCTCTACAGGTTTGAGCTTGCGACAATTCGTCGGCCCGTCCTACAGCCAGTTTATGTTCATGTATGCGCGATCCGAGTATGCGTTCAGCTT